AAACTTTAAATTAATTAAATATATTTAATTATTTTTTAATAACATATGATTCAAAACCCTTAAACAAATAATATAAAATAATAAGAAAAATGTTAATAAGTTGGATCAAGAAAAAATTATGAAATAATTCTTTCAAAACTCTATTGTTTAAAAAAACTCTAATTAAAATAAATAGATTAAATTAGCATATTTTTTGGGTAAAAATGAAGAATATATTAGTATTTTTTTTATAATACCTTCTTAGAATATCATGATTTTGAAGTATTTTTCACCTTACTTTTTTGCAAGTCTAGTAAATACATAATAATCTCATATAAAATATAAACTTTCAATTAGAATATCAAATCTAATTATTGAATTGATAAAATATAAATTATACCAAAAATTACAACTAATGTAAAATTTTTTTTCATACCCAAATAAAATTATTTGTTTTAAAAATTGATTATAAAGAAAGAAATAATCCTTTTATGTAACTCTTAAATATTTCCTTTAAATTTAAAAAGGTCCTTATAATTCAAACATCAAAAACAAATTTTGTACTAATTAAAAATTAATGTAGTAGATTAAACATTTCTTATAAACATGTGGATTATAGAATTGGTGCGCTCTAAAATATTGGTTCGGGACAGTAAGAATTTAGGTGGTTGAACAGATGTGCATTCATGTAATGGCCAACCGGTCAAGAAACAGTCTGTTGATGCAGGGTATACCCTCAAACTCACCGAATCATCTAATATACCAAACTGACTAGCATGTGTGACAGAATTTAGGATAAAATGGTAGTTTTATCTTTTCATGGAAAGGCACACTTTTCCCTCAACATTCTAGATTCTTATACAAAGGAAACCCTAATCTAAAATTTTGTGACACATTTAACGCTACCAAGTGTATGTTAGTGCCTACGAGAAACAGCTAGATCAATTTCAAGCCAGTGTTGTCAAATCAAAAGTGCCAGTTTCGACCACTTAAGCAGAAAAGTGGAGCACCATCGGACATGAAGTGCTGCGCTTTAGTGAAGCAAGGTTGAAGCACCAACTTTAGGGCTTAAGGTGAAGCGCTGGGTGTTTCATATTTTGCTAGAACAACGATTTACACAAAATGACAAAATTATAATTTATATGCAATCATGACCTACATTTATGGATAAACCATTCACTGGCTATGAAATATTTATGGAAACAGCCACTCAAATTATCAACAGCAAAATAGAAATAGAAAATCAAATGCAAAAGAACAGGGAAAGCCAGTTCTCAACTAATAAAAAGTCTTATCTATTATATTGGCCAGCAGCTGGGTATCAAGAACTCATGTGAAATCAAGAAAAGCATAAAATACCTCATCCCATCCAATGCCATATGCAAGAGGATTCAACCTCATTCTGATAAAAAGATAGGTATACCCAAGCCATGCACAAGCCTCCTTGACATTAGTCACAATCACCAAGACCACTTCTG